ATGATATTCATATGAGAGATGTTACGTCACCGGTGTTGGAGTAATGACGTAATGGACGATTTTTTCAAATACAAATAGGGGTCATGTGACACCTTGATTGAAAGGTCTACCGATCATCTATTCAACAGTCAAAATGTTGCATAAGAAGATTGAAATTAAAAGGGATTATCATGTGATTAATTGAATCTTGCAGAGGTCTGCTACTGAGAATTGAACATCGAAGGGTCGTCTAGTTAAAAAAATACGTCGAAAAAAAGTTCTAAACTCTAGTTTTTTTTTTTTTTTTTCGAAAGTCGTCTTGTTTTGAAATGAATTTATTCCATACATTTGCATCATACTGTATATTCTCAATCTTATTCAAATGTTTGGATTTTAGCGAGTCACAGTAGAACAAGCCACGTCGCCTTCGCTGTTGACTCAAAAGAGACATTTCCAGGCTTGCACTGAACAAATGACATACATCGAATAAAATCCGTATCTGAATAACGAATAAATATTTGAAAAAATTCTCGGACGGGCCGATTTTTATTTTTGGAATTTTATTTTTTTTTTCATAAATATTTCCAACCACCTGTTAACCACCTACCGTACAGATCGAACTCTTTGAAATTTCTATAATGTTGAAGGGTTCAAGTTTCACTTTGCTAGAGAGGTATTTCTAATCTCTATACAATGATCTATATATCTTTCTTCTAATTCGGTCGAGCCATATCTTCAAGATAGCAGCCAAAAGATTCAAATTGTATTGTAATTTTCGTTAAAATTTTTGGTGATGGTAGGTACAGTTTTATTGTAGGTATCACTTGTGCAGTTAATTTACCTTGATGAAATAAGTTTATCAATGAAACAGCACCTACCATCACATTGTACATACGCGAATACGGACATTCGGTATAAGAAACTCATTTCACATGTGGGTAAATTAACTATACAAGTAATACAATAAAACAGTACCCTACCTACCATTACCAAAAATGTAGACAAAAAAATTTGATAAATTTTAAATCTTTCGACTGCTCTTTTGCGAAAAGGGCTTGATGACCGAATATAAAAAATAATAAACCGGCCTTATATAGAGATCTGAAATACCTCACTCAAAATGTGAAACTTGAGCCCTTGTTCAATTGAAATTTCTTGAAGAGGTTGTCTTGTATGGTAGGAGGATGAAGGTGGTTGGAAATTTGTACGAAAAAATATATTTTCAAAAATGAAAATCTATCTATCCCACGATTGTTTCAATATAATTTTGTTATGGAGATACGCATTTTATTCCAGCATAGGTTTCCACACTGTATGATAGAGTGGATCCAATTTCATGAAGATATCGTTTCGATTCAGTGAAGAAATAATTTTGAGAAATACTAACTGAACCATTCGTTTAAGTGCACATTTTAATGAGCTCAGTGACCAGTATAGCAATTTCCCTATGCGAGTCATTTTAGGCAGACCACTACATCACAGCATATTATCCTTTTGAGCGAGACTATAATATTGTTCCGAGCGTCATCAAATTTGGATTTGGAAGTTCTCAAAATACTACGTTCTCTATATATATAATTTTGATTTCGGCTGCATATTATGAATATTGGTGCTTGAGCCTGCCGTGTTTTGAAGATCATTACAGGAGAGAGAACTGTGGATAATTCAGAGATTAGATATTGCAGTAGCAGTAGAAGAGTGACCGGTCTGCAACGTTATTTCAATACTGTAAGGTTTCCAGTAGAGTTCGACACGCGTTTACTTTGAGAGAGTATACGTGGTCACGTGTGCATTGAATATGCATATGCGTTGAATCACGTGGTATCCAAAGTTGACGTGGTCGTCCTCTAGTTCTGTCATTGATGAGCCTGGGTGGCCCTTCTCTGAACTAACTCCTATAGCCAATTCATTAAGATCATTCAATGGAAGCAGAAATCAATGAAATCCTTCAAGGACATCATATGGATCTAATCCCCCATATGATGAGGTGATGCTACAGCCTACAGCATCAAGTCAAGCTGACCATGTTGTTGCAATATCACATCAGAGATTGAAGTAACAGGATATCAAAGGAGCATTAACATCTTGGGTCAAATCACCTAATTTATCGTTACTTCAAGATTATTGAAATAATTTTATCTATTCTCATTCATAGAGACGAGTAGTGAAAATTATAAAAATTAGAACAAAATATTGAAGACTAATTTGGAACTAATTTCGAAATCAATGAGTTTATGTGTTTGTTTTATATTTTGTCGGAGTGTATTAGTTATTAGGTCCACCAAAATATTGCCTAGGGACATTCTGTAGCAATTCCAATTATAACAGGAACTGTGCATTGTTCGTACAAAACGTGCCTCAGGCCAATAATATACAAAGAATATCATACTCATATTTCATGCACGTTCAAATCACCCGTGGGCATATTTATGTATATGACGCCAGAGCTTTCTGGTGCTGTTTCGAGTAAACCAACAATCAGTCGATTCCACACTCGCACTATACAGGGTTATTCATCGAATAGGCCCACTCTGTATAATCACATTATTTTTCACCGGAAAAAAAAGGCAATATTCGGAAATTGGATTTCGTAATGAGGCCTTTTTATGGCCTTCATCAGAAGTTATACGAGAGCATGACGAACCACTAACTCATCTTTTCGAATATGGAGAGCGCACAGACTTAATTACATATTTTTTTAAATCGATAAACCGTGTGACATCTTCTGATTCATCATCTACATCATAACTTTTGTAACCTCAGAAAAACAATTTCTGTGTGTTAGCTTTCACAGATATCGTGTTATCCATGAATGAGAGGATATATTTGACGTAGTTTTATCTTGCATCATTATCGAAAACATTCCCATATTGATTGAGACAAAACTGGTTTTTGGGGTCAAAGAAGTATGATGTTTGTTAAAAATCACATACTTGAACAAAGACAATTGATTGATATTCAGAATACTAAAATACACTGAAAAAAACGGACAGGTTGAAATTACATTTACATAATATACATAATCATAATAATAGTAGAATGAAGAACAAAAACAATATTGACCGGATGACATAAATGAAACAATGAGTGATTGACTGACATTGGATTAAAATATACTTGAACCAAGAAATCCATCTATGGTGTATGGTTCTATGACAATTAATAATTCCTGAACTGACTGTTTGAATTTTTTAAGCCTGGGTTAAATTTTTAATTCTTCAGGTATTCTATTGTAATAGTAATTTTCCTAACAAGTGCGGAAAGTAATTCTTTCCCGCACGTGACTGCCGTTGACACGAACGACGCGAAGCGGAGTTCGGGCAAGCAGTCGAGTGCGGGAAAGACACTTTCCGTATGAGTTAGGAACAATATTTTTTCTACAAGCGTAGGAAATTGATTGAATCGTTCAATTAATTATTCAAGCAAATAGGAACAATCTATTAATTATCAGTAATAGCTACTGTGAACTTACATGCAGTTTGACGCATTATGTTGGTTCATTGCGGAAGCCAGCAGGCCCATTAGGAGTTTGGTCTCTGGGTTCCAGACACTTCTATGGAATGAGCCAAAAATACCTATTCTTCATTCGGTTTTTTCATTTCTTTATTGTTGCACCATTCAATTAAACGCGTGTATAGCTTCTCATACCATTCTTAAGACTTCGTTGGTGATATTAACGCATCTGTATCAAATCCCTATTGCTAGAAGTTTTTGATCACATTGTGGCATTACCACTGAATCGAAAATGACAGTAACGCTGTGTCTGTCACTTCGACAATTTCAAACTTATTTGAGGTTTGATTGACATGACAAATTGACGTTTCCCGTCAGATCAATCCAAATCTATAGGGGGATTTTTATAATAATCCATTTTTATTTCTCAATATTTCTTAATTTTTACAATAAATAGTGCAATTTGATGGATGATTCTGAACATACATACTTAATACTGCAACAAACAATCTTAAACTTTTATATTCCATCACCAACCACTTATATTACTAGCGATTATATCATATCTTTGTTTTCCCGCACTAGTGCGGGAAAAAATTTCCCGCACTAGTGTGGGAAAATTTTCCCGTACTGTTGCGGGAAAATGACACTTCCCAAACTAAATTGCGTGCGGGTATAGGGTGAATCACGCACGCTTGTAGAAAAAACTTTATACACGTGTACATTGGGTTTTTTCTGTGAGGGGGAACATTGAAATCCATCGTTTTTGTGCCATAACTGTGGTTTGATTCATATGCTTGGAATTTCCCCCTATTCTTAAATATAAAAAGTACTGAACACTCATATTTATAAGACAGAAGAAAAGAAAAAAAAGTATTCGGTACGTTAGGAATTATTTAAGTCTACGACACACGGAACAGAGGTAAATTGTTACCAAAATACCTTCGCCTTGAAAAGACCAGCGACGGTAATAGTTACTTCGGCACCAAAATATATAATGTACTTCCAGATGAACTCAAGAATGTAAATTTAAATTTGAATTGTTTCATCAGAATCTTCAAGAATTATCATTCAACAAAATCATTTTACTCAATTGGTGAATATATCACAAATTATTTAAATGATTTGGTATGAATATAGAAATGGAACTGATTATGTGAACAAGACCTAGGATATTTTGAATTATTTAAGCATGTACATGATTTGAAAAGTATATATTTGTATATTGTTCAGCTACATGTATGAGTGTATTGATCTTTTACGGACTTGTGTAATGATAATCATTCGGAAGATATGTATAATTGATGGAATATTACAATTTATTACGAGTTTTGAATTCCGTGAAATATCAATGATTTTAAATCTGTCCAACTCGTGCAGGCGCATTGTGTCCATTTGGACCTCGATTTCGACAGTGCCATAATAGGCTTCACATTTGCTGGTATCAATATAATGAATAATTAGATTAAAGATTTGAACAGACAAGTATTTTTTAAGCACTTCTAAGAATCTTAAATCATCAGAAATACATGTCCATATGATTGTTTTATTATTTCAGATGCCCTAATATGGGTCAGCCTTGGATGCTGGTTCGCGTGGCTGCTATTCTTCTCGTTACTAGACAAACGCTCGCCCTTTCCGATATGTGAGTATTCTATTCGATTAGATATACACTATACAGGGTAAGCTTACACTACCTCTATATCTAGAATCAGTCGGGAGAATTCCATGAAAATATGCATGCTTATATTTTAAAATACGCTCTCTTCATTTGAAATATTTTCAACAATACAGTGCTGCTGCTTGAAGCAGCAAGAAGTAGCAACAACTTTGTTATTTCAAATAGGATACCCTGTATTTTATTGCACTTTCATATTCTCCCTGAAGAGCTCATTACATCGATATATCGGGAATTATTACAGAGATATAGGGTATTCAAAATCGAGATTTTTCAACTTTAGCTAGGATTTGTTTGTGTCGATCGAAACTATTCATTATCGGTCAAAACGGTTCACATGTTCCTGTCTCAACTTTTGATTTCCTATCTACTGATATTCAATTTGAATAGATACAGGGTGATCAGAATTCTGTATTTTGAACCACCCCGCATATGTTCCGATTAAATATCTATAAATAGTGAATCAACAGTTGAGATAGGGACATTCGAGTTGTTTCGACAGATAAAATTGACAAATCTCGATTTTGGACACCCTATATATCTGAAATCTCATTGGATAGGACCCAAGTAAGATGTATTGATGAATTCAGCTTTTCAGGAAGAATCTAGAAATGCGATAGAATACAGGTTGTTCCATTTGAAATATCAATGTTGCTACTACTTTCTAGTAGAAACGGCAACACTGCATTGTCAAAAATATTTCCCTTGAAGAGAGCATATTCTGAAATATGAGCATGCACAATTTTATGGATTTCTCTTAACTGGTTCTCGATATAAAGATAGTGTAAGCTCGTCGTGAAATATCCTGTCCTGTATACCTACCTAGCATGTTTAGTTTGCTCTATCCTTTTGATAATCGGAGAGAAATGGAATATTTCGGATGAAAATTTTGGATATTTGTCCCATAAATTCTACCAGGTGAACTAGGGGTCAAAATTGTCAGGCTCAAATCAACTTTACCTCCACAAGGAAATACACAACCGAACGTAAGAGGGCACTGACGAAGTTGGACCCTTTCTTCGAACCTCGAATATTTCAAAACAACAACAAGGATGGACTTTATTTGAAACACCTACTACCTAGTACGAGTAGACGAAAGAGTATATATGATCACCTGATCAGAAACATATTGTTAACTTTTTGTGTTTGACATGAATGCTAGGACTCTTGAGTCTTGAATGAAAGTATATTCCTTCTCTGTTATCCATATAGTTTTTTCTCTCTGCCCTGAAATGAATTTCATCGACTTCATTTCATTCAAAAAACTTTCTGTGCTCACTAAGTCAATTATTTCCATTGTTCTATGGTGACTGTAATACATGAATTCACCTTCTGCACAAACTGAAATATTCCAATAGAACTGAATTGAATCAGTTCTATCCAATTGAAGTCAAAAGAACGCATGTTAACTGATTCAGTTCAATTCCAGTGAAATATTCCAGTTGGTTCTATGAGGGCTCCGGAGTAAGCCATCCTCACTCAATGCTCAATGTAAATGTTTATGAACGCAATCATTTTATACGATTTCATAATATAACTTGAGCTTGTTTGAAGTGACGTTGGTACGAAATTTATCCAGTGGGCCCTGACTAAAACTCTCTGCTTCGTCTATTATCCCGTATCCGTTTCCGTATAATCCTTCTGTTTGAACAGGCCAGACTTCACATATCCATTGGATTAGGAAGAATGCATGGCGGAAATTAAATTAGTTCCCTAGGTACCCACGGATGATATCAAAAATATATGAAATTCACTTATACTCTCAGAGATGTTCATAACTGTGTACAACCACGATGGCTCTCATTTGATAGAAAGCCTTATAGTCTTATATAGACTGGCCCTTGATGATAGATTCTGTGCAACGTTTTTTCAATATTTGCATCTTTTAAGTCATGTTTTTTATGGGTTTACAACATATTCTAGACAATTATTATCTTCTATTCGCATTGAAAATTGAAGATATTGAACGATGGGTAAATGCATGCAAATTGGTTTTTATTGAAATTTGAAAAAGAATACCGCGGAATGAATTTGCATACACCTCCCTCGTGAAGGAAGTCCCGAAATCATTAACTGAACATGTGATAAATAAAAGAAGATGAAATAGCTGAGGTGGTAAGCCGTATGAAGATAGTTTGTGGAGCAGTTCTTGATGCCTTCGATATATCTAACGCTACAGCTAGAGATTTCCCATATGCTCGTAATGGAGTTTGCCTTATATGGGTGACGTATGCAAGTAAATCTCCAGTTGATCTTCGGTGGCGAATTATATATCGTCTATCATAAATGATTCCTGAGCTTTCCCGATATTTGATGAGCTCAATGTTGATGGATTTCTCCATCACCTTGGAGATGAATGATAACAAGGCAATTGGGATATAGTTGTTGGGCAGGCTTTTGTTTCCAGTTTTGGGGATTGGTTGAACTCTAGTTATTTTCCAGCAAGATGGAGAAATACTCGACTTGTAGGAGATGGTGAATCGCTTGCAGATAATCGGTACCATTTCCAGTGCACACATTTTATGTCAAACCATTTGATGAAAAATCTAATCTATCTAAAATGGAGTTTTAACTGGTGAATATTGATATTAGGTCATGAAAACGATTAGGAAATTAATGTATTTCCATAGACTGTTACCAAAATAGTGAGAAATAATGATAATCTACAAAACGAAAAACGATATGGAGGACGTGAATTTATCCGCGCTTGAAGGGGTCTTGGGATTTATTCACTTATCTAAACAGATTTCGTTGAAAAAATGGTGGTGTCTGTTGGGTCTATATCATGATGAGGAAAATAATCAGAGTTAGAGGACCACAATGAGGCAGTTCCATGTATATCCCAATTGGCTAGACATTTTTTCGACGATGCAAGTCTCACAGGAACTCGAATGAAAAGAGTCGAAGGTCAGACGGTGTTGAAATGATTAAAATAAATTTCAAAGAAATAAATGATAATTATAGCATGAAGTACCAAAAAGTTCCTAAAGAGGTTACAGAGGGATCGTTAAATTGTTCTGGCAAAACAAAATTTGTTGAGAGATATTTTTGTCTTTTTTCTTATTTCACACGAGGGCTCTCTTTGTCGAAGTAAACTTGACATTTCAATGAAAATTTTGTTGCCTAGAAATAAAACGAACAAAAATTGCCTTGAAAAAATTCCGAACGTGATCAGAATTCTGAATCTTGAAGCACCCTGTATTGTTTCCAATTAAATTCCAGTAGATAGTGAATCAAAAGTTGAGATAGGGACATGTAAGCCGTTTCGATCGATAATGAATAGTTCCGACACAAAAAAATCTCAAAATTGAAAAATCTCGATTTTGAACACCCTATACCTCTTTAATCATTCCTGATAGACTCCAATGTGATGCATCGATGAAATCAGCTCTTCAGTAAGAATCTGAGAATGCAATAAAATACAGGGTGTTCCGTTTGAAATAACGAAGTTGGGGTCCACTTACGGTACAACCGGAAGTGCCAATATCTCCAAAATATCTCAGCCGGATAGCAATTATCAACAATAGTGAACCACTAAATTTTCAAATTCGGCCCACCTATGGATTTCTATAAATTGATCGATGCAGTTCCCGGAGGGACACCCTGTATAATCCTGAGTCAAACATTCTTCAAACAAGGTGTCACTGACTACCGATTGAATTTTCCAATGATTCGTAAAAATGAATGCTTATGGGTCTTGAATAAACCATTGTTGGATCAAAATGTAGTAGGATCAATTGATTTTCTCGATCATTTGCTGTTTCTATTGATTTTTGATCATTTCATTCTTCCATCAATTAATTTCTGATCTAATGAAATTTGATCAAATGATTTCGATCAAATAGTTTTCGATCAGCATATTCCGGTAACCAAATCTGAACTATTGGAATAAATGTCCGTCAGCACCGCCTAGTGGTCTCATATTGAAATCCTTTCTCTTTTCAGCTTCGAAGAGGGAAAATCTGACAAGGAAATCCTGGATAATCTTCTGAAAGCAACCCGATACGACAAGAGGCTACTGCCGCCGGTCAGAGGTCAGTATATCATGGCACGTTAAAATGCATGAAGCAAAAGATCGAAAATTGTTATTATTATAGTCTCGAGTCTGGGTTATCTATCCCACGCGGTTGGCTTTTGGATTTGAAGTTCAGAAATGAAATTGTCTGCCCACAGGCAAAAGTTCTACTCGATATGAATAAAATAGGAATTCTGATGCTATACTTTGTGGTTTTATTACTTCTTCTCACTGCCACTGTTTCACCAAGTTCAGTCATAAAAAATGCATATATTACGAACAATATGTCTGACGACACTGACCAGAAAAGAGAGTCTAGAACATTATTCTTTTTCTGCTCAATCTGCAGGATTTCTCTTGTGATTGGTAATTATGTCTGAGCTTCCAGACAGAAAGTTGTGACATGCTGTGAAATGAACAATAGCAGAGCAATTTCGGTTACTGAAATTATGATATCGTCGGTGTAATTAGCAAAGTGCGTAACTCCACAATGACTAACTTTTCAGGAGAGCAATAAAACTGAATGACTTAACTCCAAGATTCGAATCATTTGGATGAGAGCGAAAAATTCGTAACTCCATGATAACGATTATAAACCCAATTTCAATTGATTTTTATTGATATTGATCATTATCAAGCATGCATCATTCAGTATAAATGTTTCAATTACCTTTTCCAATGTGAGATAGCATATTATTTCACTATAATAAACCAGAAGTTGATGATGTTTTGCCGAACATGTGAACAGTAGACAAGGAGATACGAATATTGCCGAACATAAAATGGCGCGTTGGAGTTACGACTTTTTCTTTATTGAGTTTATTCTGCTGGAGAAATTTATATGGAGATTGACCGTTTTCCAACATATTCGTTGAATTTTTTCCCAACAGATGGCACAAAAATGTCATTTTGACCCAATATTGGAGTTACGCACATTGCTAATCACACCGACGATATTATACGTATAATCACCCATTATTTTTTACACTTTTTCCTTCGGGAACAAAAATTTGGTGCTCAAGAAGATAAGGAGAATAATACTGATAGGGAGAACGTGAAATGTTCCAATTATAATATGTAAGTTCAGGTACCACCGCTCCAATATGACTATCACAAGCAGATACTACTGAGCTCAAAATTAAATATTCTGAATTTTACTGAATCATGTCATTCCCGTAGAATCCAAAAAAATCAGTTGTGTCACTCTCATGAAATTTTGTTTCCTAATAACATCTGGCTATAATGGTTACTATAGCACAAACTCATCTCTTCACATTGAATAATAATCGAAATGAGATGTTTTTGAAATGGAATGAAACATCAGGCGATGATTATTATTTATATAGGTAAAATTTCATTTAATGTATGAAAAAAACACTTAGGACATGCATTATTTCCAAATTCAAAAAGACTTCTACAATAATGCGCACATAATTTATTAGGCTTGAAATAATTATAAGATGCGCGTAGCTAGGGAGGAGTGCATTTTAGAAAGATCACGCCCATGAAATCTTAATGGGTACATTACGTTCAAACCAAGAAGAAACTATAGAAACTCACTATCGTGGGGGGATCAGAATTCTCAACCTTGAACCACCCTGTATCTGTTCCGATTAAATATCAGTAAATGGTGAATCAGAAGTTGTGAGCCGTCTTGACCGATGATAAATAGTTTCGACACAAAAAAACAACAAAAGTTGAAATATCTCAATTTTGAACACCCTATATCGATATAATCTCCTTCGATAGACCCCAAGTGTGATATATCGATAAAATCAGCTATTCTAAAACATGAGCATGCACATTTCTATGGATTCCTCCCGACTAATTCTCGATATGAAGGTAGTGTAAGCTCGTCGTGACATACCCTGTACATATACATCAAGACATTGATGAAAGTAAGATATGGTGCTCGCATTCGGCCATTATTATGTAAAATGATGAAGATGGAAAGCCCTGTTATTACGTAATTCAGAAAAATCACTCGACCGCCTACTATGATTTCTCGACGTCACAACGAGCGAGACATTGATTCTACATTTTCCCGCTAGATGGTGATGCTGCTATTGCTGCCGCGACGAGTGGAAACGGCAAATGGCATATTAGGCACGAGGAACATATGCAACAGTGGGATTATTCAACTCTGAATTCGAAAAATCTGCGACAATTTCAAAACTGACAGATGTCATAATTGTGCAATGTCGCCATCTATTAGAAGATCGATAGAACCATTGCTCTCGCGGTTCTCGAGAGGTCGAGTAAAATTTCTGAAACAAAAGCGCATCAGTAGTTACACCATATCTTACTTCCATCATTATCAAGACGATCATCAGAAACACACAAATATCAAAAAATACAACTGAAAAACAAAAGCGTAGAGAGTAACACAATACTGGTACTTTAAGCAAAACAATCAAAATATCTTGTTTTGAATATATTTTGACTATACTGCTGTTACAGATGCGGACTTCTGCTGTGACCTGTACTCGCCTGAGAATAGGAAGTTGGACAATCGCAATCTTCCAAGCAGCAAACAGCGTGGTCCGTTTCTTTTCACATTTTTTATGTCTGTTTGTTGATGTTAGATGGTCCTTGGAGTTGGAGCATTTTCTCTCTATCTATTCACAGGGTATTATTTATTCTGTATAAGTCATTGAACAAAAGTCAGAATTCGAATATGTTCCATTTCATCGACATATCCTATAAGTAGCTATATATAATTTATAAAGAAGTTGATGATGATTTTGACATCGCTTATAGCATTGAACGGAGTTAGCTCAATTGGAATGCGCAGCTAAACAGAGGTATTCAATTTATGAAACCACTAATAAATTCGTTACTTCGCAGCCTCGGCCAGAAATGATTCTGAACCATTCACCGCTGTGTTCAAAGTAACAGTGCTACTCATGAAAATTGTTTTTCTAAAATTGTTCCATCCGTCATTCGGTTGCCCCCTCACGAGCAACCCTCAGAAACCTTCGAAAGACTTGTGCGAGCAGTCTCTTGGATTTGAACCCACGACCAACAAGCCATCGCGATCAGACTACTGATGCTCCTACCACGTGGATACTTGGCCCCCCTAAGGTGGTATATGGCATCAGTAACAGAGCTTACACAAAATATAAGATATTTTTGAATTATTGTTTCGTAAGGTCTTTTGCCAGTTGCATGGAGTTTGCACACACACGAATGAAGTACATGTTCATACTACTATAATACAATCACGTCTAGATAATGTGTCAAACATGTGCATTCACTTATGCAGTTAGAGCATTAATACTGTTAAAAACCATGACATGTTCTCTTCAGTACTACTTATCATAGTGAAATGTGAGGAACTTGAATGAAAGTTTTCGTTATGAAACTACTCAGCTCAGAAAAGAGACCTTTCCGAGGCTATATTCCGAATTCAACTGGCAGTACTGAATCTGCTGATTTTCCATTCCGAAATCAAAAAATTCACTGGAAATGACAGATGCTTGTCAGCAGATATACTATTCATTCCAGATATTTCGACTCAACATTCTGCTGAAATTGCTGAGTATCAAAAGGTAGTGTGGCTTCAGTGAACTGTCATATTTTAGAAGAGAAAGGAATGTAACATTCATTTCCGTTATTAATGAAATGATTCTCAATATCAGAAAATACGAGTATGAAGTAGTAGAGCAGGTAAGGAAAGGAGCAGCATTGGCTAAATAAACTAAATAAACCTGGAATGTCTCCTAAAATTCATCATTATTAAGGCATATTGCGATTTTCATGAATCTCAATTCTCAATCTGGTACATTATGAGAAATTTATGGCAACAAAATGTCCAAGTATTCTTCATCATTCGAGCTTGAATCGCAATCGTCAACAATCGTAGAAACTATAGAGGATACAAGAATCGATTTCTCTTCCATGTTGAATATTAAATTTCCAAAATTTATAACAAGTAGGAGGCTAAACATCTAGTTCAGATAAACGAGACACTACTACTGATGAAAACCATGAAAACGTGTCCCGAATTACAGTAGTGAATTTTTGATTTTATATTTCGGAACACAGATTTTCAGCAGAGTCAGTGGATCAACTTACAGTACTGACCAGTTGAATTCGGAATATAGCCCGAGTAACGTTCTATATATTCTTCTTTTGTTTTCAAAGAATGAAAAAATACACCTGGGAATAAAGATATCCGATTATTTAAATATACATTCAGTAGAGAATCTCATACTTTTTTATATAAATATGTTCGGCCTCAGAATTTACAAAATTTTCGCCTGCAGCGCATATCTCTATTTTTATCCTACTATAACGGAATCAGAAGCCTAATATACACATGATTAACCCAATCAGACCCTGACGTCTTAAAGACGTAAATTTTACGTCCACCTCACGTCTTTACGTCTAGGAAAGTATGAAAGACATCTTAAAACAGTACATTAATAATATTGTGTCTTTTTTTTCATTTATGAACTTGTCATTGACAATAAATTGTCACTGAGAACTGAAAAGTTTCAAGACAGATAAGAATTTGCTATTAAAATAACCATTTTTCAAGTTGAAAACGGGAGGGGATTCGGTCCCGAAACGTCCAAAGATAAGTGAAAATTTGATATGTTTTCTATATATACCTTTATTCCTCTTCTCTAAACGTTTTTAAATACAGATTGTCACTGACAAGCTAGTGGAATTTTTTTTAGGCTCTCTGATAGGGAAATTCTTTAAACGCAGTGACATTTCGGAGAAAATCATCTGATTTGTCCTCACTACACGTATATTGAAATAATATTCACATTTTCATTTTCATAGAAACGAGGAGAGAAGATTCCAAAACATTTTGAATAATGACTTTTTTTCTATTTTTTTTTTCTTGGCTGCACTAGTTGCCAACTTCACAGGTCTCGAACACGTACTTACGTAGTGGAATATACGTCTTGATGACGACTAAAAGATGTACTCTCTCTCGTTGATTGGGAATCTACCTTCTTCAGGGATTTGAATCCGCTACTGGAAACCGTTCAAAACAAGGATAAA